TGTCAGCAATTCTATTGGAAACTTGGGGTAGAAAATGTCAAAAGCTCTTTGGAGATTAAGGTTTACAGCGAGGGAGTTGGCTATTTTGGAAAGAGGAAATGAGGGCGAAAAGGTTAGTGAGTTGTGGGACTCTGGAATAACCCCCAAATGCCAAGTCAGCGTGAGAAAAATATGTGGCAACTCAATGTGCTAACCACTACATCAGCACTGAAAGAATGCAACAGAGTATCCGCCAAACATTTGAACAATATTCGCTAAGTGAAAATTAGCTGCCGTGGTCGCCTACAAAATACGCGGTCACTACACTTTACGATAAATAATATGAAACGCCTTTAGATGACCTTCTGACTTGAAAGATACTATATCAAATCCATGAATAATAATAAATAATAATCATTGTTCGGGCCTTCTGCCTCTCTGCCCTCACCATTTGGAATGCCATCCCACAGTCCCTTCACTTGCTCCCTCCTTTACCTCCTTCAAGGCCTGCCTCAAGACTCTCCTCTTCAACCATACCTTCGGTCACTCTGCTACCCCACCCTCCCTGCCCTCCATCCCTCCTGATTCCAACACCCAGCTCGGGTCCAAATCCCTGACTTGGGACATCCTCCCGACGTGCAAGGCGCGAGAAGAGAACCAGATTGTCTATCTTAAGAAAACAAAAAATCCTCCCTATTGCAGGTACAATTGCGAGAGTTGACGGCCACAAAAGGCCCAGTTCAATCTGTGCTGATTTAACTGATCTCAGTCAGAAGTAGGCGGTTATAATTGACCTAATTCCCTCCTCCATCCTCCCATTACCAGGTTATGGACAGAAAAACATAGCCAAGATTCCAACTTGTGTTCGCTATCCAGACAAACAGTGCACGTCAGATAAGGACAGGACCGGACTCAGCTGAAATGCTCAACATAGTCACATAGTCTGCTAATAATTATTGGCTAGGCTCAGATATGAATAATGTCACTAGGGGGAGGTATTGGAGATCACCCAGCATCTGTGGAATCCTGCTCCAGCACAAGTCAGCAACCTCAGAAGAGGGAAGAAACAGGATAGGGTATTAGGAGACAATCAAAAAGGGAGCTGCCCTCTAAATTTCACTCCTGACTATTGAATGACTGAATTTCGTGTATAATTAGTTCACTTTGGATTGGCTTTCAAGGAATTCAATATCTCTCCAAATCATGTGATGGGCACAATACCCCACAAAGACCATTGTCGTGGTACATTCCCAGCAGAAACATCCTACGCAGATAACAGCATCTGGAAAGCATCTGGAAGCATTAATGGCATTCTAAAAAGTTCTTAGATTAGTATTTTTAAACAAAGCGATAGCGGAAAAACTCCAGCTACAGCTGAGCAAATTCTAAAATACCAGAGCAATCAAGGAAGTCACTGACATCTTGAATTCCTCAGTTAAGCTACTACGGGTACGTTCTTAAGTTCTAGGTGGGCAATGTTAAGAGTCAGCTATGAAATGATCAGATTCAGTGACCGAAAATTACATCCGTATGTTGTTACAAACTCCAGCCAATACTGGGATACACCAAGTCTGTAAATGGAATGTCAAGAGGTTTTGTTTGAAAGCCTGTTCTAGCCAAGAAGGACTAGGATTGAAACAAAAATGAGTTGTGTTTAAGATTTCAGTTTGGCCTCACATGTTAAGCTGGTAATGATTTGTTCCCTACATCGCAGCCTTTCAGCAGACAGCAATCCTCACAAATCCCACAGCGGTGATTTCGCAAGACTTTCAATTCTTTCCTAAGTTGAGTGTCTCTTTCAATGGTTTCCATGTTCTATTCAAGGTTGTCCTCCATGTGGAACATTAACCAGCAGTGAATGCAGCTCAGGTTTCAGAGGGTGAATATATTGCCAACCTACAATTCCAAACTCATGTTCTATCATTTATTAGCAGCTTCTAGCCTGACAAGCCAGTTTAGTGCTGGATTGTCAGCGGTGCTGTTAATAATAATAATAATCCTTGCATTTAATATAGCGCTTTTCACAACTTCTCGACATCTCAAAGCGCTTCACAGAATAGACTGTAAAGTGAATTGACCGTATATTTGTGGGCGAAATTTCTCGGATGAGACATTAACTGAGGTCTTGTCAATCTGTGAATTTAAAAAAAACATGCCAGCCATATTCAAAAAGGTAAGGGAGTTTCTTCCGGTGTCCTGGCCAACAATCCCTCAGGTAAAATTGGTCATTTGCCTCAAGGCTGTTTGTGGGACACTGCTGTAAATTGGCTGCCACATTTTCATGCAAATTATATAATCACTCTTTACAGTTTATCCTGTGAAGCATTTTTAGATGTCTTCCAGACATGAAAGGTGCTACACCAAATGTAAGGATTATTTTTATGATTATTTTACAGTGACAAAGTGGCCATTGCTCACAATATTACTAGATCACAAGATGAGTTTGAATGAAGAAAGCCCTTCAACTTATCCTACCAGAATACTCATTCCACTGTGCTCTCAACAAGTTATTTTTCAAGTGTCCTGGCCTCACCCACCTTCCTGATAACCTGCTCCAGTCGTTAATTTACCTCTGGGTAAAGAAAAACATCCTGGTGACTATCCTGAAAAAAAGCGCTTTGCAACTCTGAATTTTGTTTTCTTGTTCTAATGTTTTGATGCATCTGAAAGTATTGTTCAGGGTTTACTTTTTCAATCCCATTTAAAATATTATCCAACTCTGTAAGATACCCTCTTAGAGACATGTCCATTCAAGACTGAAGAGGCTTAGCTGGACAAATCATTGCTTATGCTCATTCCTCTAGTATTGTGGATTATCCTCGTTGCTCTCCTTTACACTGCCTCTACAGCCTGGGTAGCCCTCTTCTATCGCAGTGACCAGAACTGTATGTAGTACTCAATGTGTTGTCTGACCAGAGCACTGTACAGTCCGAGTATAACAATTTCCAAGTTTGCAGATGGTACTAAGCTGAGAAAGGTAGTAAATGGTGAGGAGGAAAGCCAGACTGCAAGAGGATATAGACTGATTAGGAAGACACGTGGCAGATGAAGTTTAATGTGGAGAAATGCAAAGTGATGCATTTTGGGAGGAAGAATGAGGAGAGGCAATATAAGCTGATGGTACAATGAAGGAACAGAGAGATCTGGGGGTTCATATAAGTCAATCCTTGAAGGTGGAGGACAGGAAATAAAAGCTGTTAAAAAAACATACAGGATACTAGGCTTCATAAATAGGGGCATAGAATACAAAAGTCAGGAAGTAAAAAAAACACTGGTTTGGCCTCAGCTAGAGACTCGGTTCAGTTCTGGGCATCGCACTTCAGGAAGGATGTCAAGGCATTGGAGAGGATGCAAAGGAGATTTACCAGAATGGTACCAGAAATGAGGGACTTCAGTTATCAGGAGAGGCTGGAGAAGCTGGGATTATTCTCCTTGGAGCAGAAAAAGTTAAGAGGAGACTTAATAGAAGTTTTCAAAATTATGAGGGGATTTGATAGGGTGAACAAGGAGAAACTATTTCCACTGGCGGGTGGGTTGGTAACCCGAGGACACCGATTTAAAATAGTTGTTAAAAGAAACAGGGGAGGTGAGGAGAAATTTTTCACACAGCGAGTTGTTGGGATCTGGAATGCAATGCCTGAAAGGGTGGTGGAAGGCGAATCGATAACAACTGTTAATAGAGAAGTAAATAATTATTTGGGGAGAACAAGTTTGTAGGGCTATGGGGTGAGAACGGGGGAGTGGGATTGATTTGAATAGCTGTTTTCAAAGAGCTGGCACAGACACGATGGGCCGAATGGCCTCCTTCTGTGCTGTATCATTCTATGATTCTATGAACTTCTGAGGATCTAAACTCCCCAGTTTAAAATTCTAAACTGTTGAGAATTTAGCAGTGTAGTTCAGGATCCTGTTTGTCTTGTAAATTGCTGCCTCACACTGTTTTGACATAGTGAGTAATGAGTCAACTAACACTCCCCATTCTCTTTCAGCTTCCCCATGGCAAGTTCTATCCCATCGATGGAGTATATAAAGAAGCCCATTATGCAGAATAGTTGTAATCTATTATCAGTATGTACATTGCTTTGCTTTCACATTTTTCCACAATTACACAGCAATCTAATTTTGATAGCATTGTAAAGTACATCTTTGTGTCTGGGCATTATAATGAGGCATTCAATGCTTGCTTGACCTCTCAAAGGCCTTATCCAGGTTTTTATTCTTTCATGGAGTATCTCTCGAAGATTCATGAGTGAATGTTTCATATCAAAACATTACTCTGCTGTCAAAAAGTTCAGTATTTAGATAAAGAGCCACACAAGTTAGTAACATAAATGATTTGAGGAATGAATGAAACATTGTACGCTTGCTGCAGTTTGACTTGGGTGCAGCAATGCTTCTGCAGAATTGTATAGCAACAACTTGCATTTATGTAGCGCCCTTCACGCCTTCTAGAGTGCTTGCCAGCGGCGGAGTCTGACCACGAGCCAGGGAGAGAGAGAGGTGACTGGAAGCACGATCAACCAGGAAGGTCTTTAGGCATTATGATAAATTCCTGCATTGGATTCAAACTCAACTCCTGTTAACCCTACAAGCTAAAACCCTAACAGGGAGGGTGGTCCTAGCTGGACAAGCAGCGGGAAAACTTGCCAGACAGAGGTATCAATGCCAAGATATGCAGGTTTAGCTGGTCAGACTCCAGCAGTACCCCAACACACACCTTGGCTCCTGCCAACCTGCGCCTAATACTTTCAGGAATTATGTAAGCAGGATGCATTGGTCCAGGGAGAGAGTGCGCTGCATAGACATTCCAACAATTTATCTCTGGATTTCCATGTATAAGTGGGATGTATGGAATTCCCAGTTTATTTTGGATACTCTGAAGCATGGTGATGGGTTTCTGCATGTGTCAGACACCTGGCTGACCAAAAAAANGTTCGAACTGCCTTGCAAACTTGTTCACAGCTCGCTTTCATTTTCATTTGTAAAATGTTGCTAGTCTACTTTCTTATTCTCATTCTCACCTGGTTCCGTTGAGCCAGTTTATGGCCTTTCTTCCAGCGCAGGATTGGTTTTAGAGCCGGTAGTTCTTTGTCATCTTTCCCACCAATTATGTGCTTGCCCAGGCTGTACGTCACTTCAAACACAATAGGCGAAATAACATCCTTCACCTCCCTCTGTAGGAAGAAAGACAGAAGTAATCACCTTAAAAAATACTCTTCACAAATTCCTGCAGGAGGATCACAAATAAGTAGAGAGCACAAGCAGCCCTTTATAGTTATGCCTATGGTTACCTCCCCTCAGCTCAGCTTCATGCTCCGCCACTGTCAAGCACTCTAGGATGCTTCCCTGCATGTGTGTCGCTGTGTAAATGCAAGTCGTTGTTGTTGTTGTAGTGTACGTTTGTTGTTGTTATTTATTGATTGAAATATCTTTGCTTGTTCCTCCATTTTACAACATGCTACCTTACATACTGTTCCATAACTGCATCCTTATGAGTGGACATTAAACTTCATCACCACATCTTCTACTTTAACTTACCTCACGACTGCAGAACCTCTGACTTCCCTTGCTCTTTCCTTCCTCTCACAATTTATAAGATTTAAAATTCAATTGTGCCATCACCCAACCACTTCCTGGCTTGTCTTTACTTTTCTTTACTGTCTTCAACCTTGGTTCTGCATTGCACGTAAGAGCATAACCCTTCACCTAGATTTTTAAAATTATCACCCAGGCATTGAAGCTTGCCTTGTCTTGTCTTCAGAACTAGACTTAACTATCGTCTAGCTTGCTTGGTTTTCTCTATATATTCACTAGCTGGTGTCTCCAGCAACAGGATCGCTACACCAGCTGAACTTCTGAGCAGAGCTCCTTTCTCTGGTAAAGACAAGGGGGGGAAATGCGACATGAGCTATCAAACTAATCGATAATTAACAGCCAGCTTCACAGGTTATATACTAGTTAACTTAATTTAAGTTAAGATGATCAATACAACGTTGACTTGTGGGCAAGACCTCCAACGGTGCTCACGAAAAGATTTGGGTTAGCTTTGGGCCCAATTGCTGGGCTAAAATCGGTGTGTGTGTGGGGGGTTCAAACAGCACTATAAATTGCCACTCTTATGCTTGATCACCTACAAAATATACAGTCACTACAATTTATAGTAAATCCTGCAAAGTGCTTTGAAACATCATCCTGATGTGAAAGGCACTGTATAAATGCAATGTGTTGTTGTTGTTGTTATCACATATAGTATTATTTTGGATCCAACAAAGCAGAACGAAGATCTGAAGAACTAGTCTTTTCAAGCTCTCAGCAAAGAAGGCAGAAACCGGGAGCACGGAACACAGATTATTTTATCTTTAATAGTTTCATAATTCATGTTCCTGCCTCTCACACTCTCCCTCCCACCCAGTAACGAATGGAAGGTAACCAGACAGTTCAGATTTCACTACTTTACACAGTCAGTGATGATGATGTTAAATAGACTACCAAGGGAGTCTGTGGAAGCAGATTGTATCAGCAAATTCAAGTGGGAATTAGACAGCTATTTGGCAAAGAAATTGATTGAGATAGCAATAGATGGCCATAAGAACAGCAATGGTCTTTTCTAGTTTCATACCTTCCTATGTTCTGATGTCCCCACACAGACTACCTCCATGCAAGTTGTTTCTTTCACACTAGGCAATGCTGCTCAAGTCTGAACTCAAAAGACTAGCCATCAGATTAACAAATCTGCTGATACAATCTGTTGCAAAAAATTGTTATTATAACCTTTTTAGAAGAAAACAAAGCAAAAGAAAACATTTGATATAGCATCTTATCACGTCTTCGAGATGCCTTGAGACGTCTCAAAAACATGGTAAGGCGGTATATCAAGTGCAAGGATTATTATTATGATTAAGATTCACTGTGTATCGAAAAGAACAATTACCAATGGAAATTGGGGTATGATTTCGACAGTGCCTCACATCAGCCTCAAAAGAAGAGTGAAATTCTCAGCTGCAGAAATATGTGTCAGTTCAGCTCCAATAAATCACTGCCAGGAAATGCTTGAGATTTCCTTTAAGTTTATAGAACTCATTTCACTGTACTTGAGTTTCCTGTAAAATAAACTTGAGGAGTGATTACAAGTGAACAGTGCATCTGTGTTTATTGGCAGTACAGAAACTACCTCTGGCCGCAGTGGGCTCATCTGTCATGCTCCACTTCACAGTACAACTAACATATTCCGATTGGGACGATTACAACTAAGTGATACAGATACTTGGGATGTGAGCATATCAGTGGTACAAAAAATAGATGGGTGATATGGGATGAAAATTTCTGTCATAAACTAATAAACTGGCAGAACATGCTCAATGGGCTGAATGGCCTCCTCCTATTCCAATGTTACTACAGTACTCTGGAGGCTGCTGAACATGAGGCTATGGAGTGCAATTGTGCAAAAGCACCTTGGGCCGTCCTCCTGACATGAAAGGCCCTATAGAAATGTAAATTTGTATTGTATTATGAAACAGACCTGCTCTACAACCATTCTGGACACAAGTTCAGTGGATAAGAATAGAATGAAATACAGTGTCATCTCATTACGACGCGTAATTCGGTCATTTTAGTGCAAAAGTGGGCTAGGTTGCCGGTGTGCACAGTGAATGGGTTCCACAGTGCAACTGTGTTACAACTAAATTCACTAACAACTAAGTGTGTTACAATGTGATATAGGCGTGTTACACCTTTATCAAGAGATAAAATAGAAAACTGGAAATGTAAAGAAGCGTGTTACAATGAAGCCACATTATATGAATGAGTGAAGCCCTTTGGATTTACAAAACATTTTCCTTCCCCAGGAATTTATAGTTTGCACTATTGGACAGCAGCTATCTCTTCAGAAGGTGGTTAACCACAAGCGAAGCTCCCAAGAAGATAAAGCAGTGCAGCGAGTGATTAGGGGTTGCGTTCCTGGTGCTCTTTCTAATTTCGGGCTTTCTGGATTTTAATGTTGAATTGGCGTGGCTGACATCAACTTGCCCAACTCCTGGGAACACACTAATGAATAAACCAAAATCTTCCAGAAACACAGAATGGAGGAAACACTATAAAGGGCACCGCTGGCCCTTCATCAAACAAAGCTGCTTTGAAATGCGAGCCCCCTCCCAGCCCACAGCACTCTCACATTGATAGGTTTCCTTTTAACCATAGGTTATCTAGTGCCCTTCAGAAATAGGGTGTGCCTGTAATGAGGAATGAAAAACACATTCAACCTGAAAGTTAAGTATTTTCACCTCTGAATGTACTAAAGGAAACCTTTTTTGTTAGTTTTGGCACTGTGAATGAAATAGATGTTTTAAAAGATTTTGCTGCTCACATGAATAACATTTGAATGCACATACCCGGATTTTATGAGTGGGCTGGGGTGATGTTGCTCTTTTGTGCAGTTTTATAATAATGATTGCATTTGATATAGTATCTTATGTCAACAGAACATCTCAAAGAGTTTTACCAGATTTACTATGTAGTGTAATGATTGGTTATTTGGAAGCAAATGCAGCAGCCAATTTGTACATAACAATGTCCCACAAAGAGCCATGAAACGAATAATCACATTTTTATCCGGAGGATTTTGGCCAGGATATCAGGACACCCTTCTCTTTTCGAATAGTGAACAGGATCTTTAACATCCACCTGAACAGGCAGACACAACCTCGGTTTAACATCTCATCCAGAGGGCACCTCCAACAATATAGTACTCCCTCAGTGGTGCACTGGAGAGTCAACCTAGATTATGAGCTCAAATTCCTGACAAAGGGTTGTACCCACAACCTTCTGAATCAGAGGCAAGAGCCCTATCAACAGAGGCAGGCTGACACCTTTATCAGGAGATAAAATAGAAAACTGAGATTACCAAGGTTCGTATGATGAGTCACAGCCAAAAAGTTACCCTGTCCTTCCCTTTCAAATGCTGGACAACATACTGTGTTTTCAGCATTTCCCTTTTTGAATTTGACTTCTTGCTCCAGTAACCTTGACTCATACTCTCACTTATTTAATGAGTGGATTTTCTATTAAATTATATCAGATATTATTAGCTTGCTGGATCCTTTGCTAAATCACTTTAAAGTTGAAAGGCTGAAATCCAATATCAATTCTAATTAAGTTCATGACAGTGTCTCTGATTTAATTTGAACTATACACAGGTTATCTTTAATGTGATTGTAAAACATTGGATTAAAAGGCAGTAAACAATGTGGGAATTCTAATCTATATGTATCTCATATCCACATATTTCTGCATTCCTCTATCAATGCATCCCCATATCAATGTGTTGCCAATCCTCATGTCAACCTATTGCCTTATCCCTATATTATTTTGGGTTTCATTCATTTCTTAGCTCTAATGTTGTAGGATTGTGTAAATAAATCTAATTGTTTTTTAAAAAAATACAATTAAATTGTCATATTAGTGAAGTTTTCAAAAACAGAAATAAATTGTTCTAAATTTGTCTCAAACTGTCAAAACAAAATATTTCAGGAGTGAATAGACCTCCATATGGACGAAGGAGTCCACATGGACTGGTCACAAAGGAGGGGGATGAAAGAGGTAAAAATGGCTTACATACATGGACCTAACCAACCTGGTGACAACAACAACTTGAATTTATATAACGCCACTCACACAGAGTAGCATCTCAAAATACTTGTGACCCAGATAGTCTTTGTTCCTAAGTCTACATTCTTACCCATTTTCTGTGGTTTCATTCTGTAATGAATTTGTTGAAACATTGTCAACTTCTCAAGGATTCTAGAGTAAACATTCTTCAACTTCATAAATCAGGTCATCATGCACTTACTATTTAACTAAACTATATACATGAGTAATTAGCAGAGATAATGCTCCAACTCTTCACAGATACAAAAGAGCTTCAACACTATTTTCTGAGATATTTGAATTGCTGAGTGATCTGGGGTAAAAGAGGCTCTAAAACAGCTGTACTGTACAACTATTTGATGAATTATTGCATTGTGAGCTACAAATATCATTAGACTCAGTTTCCCATCTCTGACCTGCACAGAATACTAAACAATACCATGTACCTAGCTGTCCCAGCAACATGTCCAAAGCTTCTTAGTGTTTTCTGGCTTGCAATTATAGAAATAATATAGCTGCTCGAATGCCTCTG